CACTTATGCCTGTTATGGATGTAATAGTAGTGTTTATCCTTAGTATCTTTGATTAACAAGATAAAAACCTACTGGATTATTTTAAGGGTTCTACTATATATATTTGTGTACGATTGTGGAGGAAGGAGCACTCAATGAGCAATTAGGAGATAGGATTAGAATCCTGCCCCTTCTCTGCTGTAGTTCAGCACTAAGCTCATCTGAGCACTAAGCTTCTGTTTCCTCATCTGGAAATGGGGGCTGCAGGGGTCAACAATTCTTACCTCAGAGGGTAGTCATGAGGACCAAGTGATAATCTGGATATAACAGCACTAGCACAGTGCCTGGCCCACAGCGAGGGCTCAGTAAATGTCAGCTAAACAGCAGCGTAATGGGGTTCTGTGTGCCACACATGAGATTTGGAGGCAGATTCGATGGTGAGTTTAGGTGAAGAAATTGGACATGTCTGTGTTCACATAGTATGATTCATGTCTACTCTGCTGTTGCTGCTGCTGCTTTCCTGTAACCAATTTTAGAGCCTATCTTGGCAGCTGGAAGTATTTGGGATTAATTTCACACTCACTTTATGAGCTGAGCATTTTCCTGCAAGCAGCTCCCTGGGCCTCTGCCTCATTACTTTGGCATCAACTGATATGGCTGTTGGACATACATGTCCTTTGGGGTCTCCATTTTATTTGGAAACCTTCAATTTGAAAAAGCAAAACAAAGGCTATCAACACATTTGTGCCTGAAATCGTTAGCATTTATTGTTTCCTAAACCCCTCCCTTTCTGTAGGTCTGTTGAACACTAGGGAACACACATCTTGCACAGCCAGTGATGAGCACTGAAAAATCACACTCCTTCGGATTCAAACCCTAACAGCTGGTTGGCCTCATTTTGGATTTCCAGGTGAACAGCAAGATCCTCTAGGCCTTGTTGGGACAGATCTAAATCTTGATGGGTCTAGTTTTTCCAGCCTTTTTTACTATGTTAATTCTGCTAAATTCATTTGGCTCTCGCGGAGAACAAAGTAAACTTGGCTGTTACGTGTAAAACTAAATTGAGAACATGGAGATCTGTTTAGTATTTTATGCTGGCCAGTAGGTCAGGAAGATTTTCCTTGGGGGTAATTTACATAAGGAATTGTTTATCCCATTTCTTTCCAATTTCTGTGACCATTTGGGGATAGCAGACTTTCCACAATGGCACAGAAATATAACCAACAAGACCAAAACTTAGAGAAACGAAGCTTCTCCTAGATTGATGTATTTTGGGCCTTGCTTAGGAAAGATCCTGTGGCTTGGGCTGCTGTCTCACTGAGAAGTCATTCTTCTACCACAGCTGTGTTTAGCAAGCTGGGTGGGTCTACAAACTGACATGCTGTTACATTTAGTAAGAGTTTTTCCCTTGATAGTGAGGAACGTGCATAAAAGCCTCACTTAAGTCCCAGCAAATGCCCAAATGTTTACTGTGATAGATAGCTGCTTTGAGTGCACCTTCCATCAGGTTACGGCCCCAACTCAGAGTACTCTGTGGCCACCTAGTACCTATAGTGTTACATGCATGCTCTTCACCTTAACATTCTGCTTCCTCTTCAGCAGTTGCCCAGATGACCTTTTTTGTGTCTCATCAAATGCTGTTCCCACACTGGAATATTTGCTCCTCTGCTTTTCTGCTTTAATCATTTGCTCAAGTTGTTTCCTGTACTTTTAAAGCCCCCATACCCAATATCTGTTCTTGAGGATGAATTTCAGGTACTTCTTCTCAGTGGCACACTGGTAAATATGTAACAACTGGTTCTCTGGGAAGGAGGTGGATTGGGAGGAGGCCTGGCTCTGTAACATTTGTTGATGTTCATGTTGTAAATACTTCCACCATGGCTGATTTCAGGCGACCAGCATGAGCTCACTGAATGTGAAGTTGGGAAGAAATGGGCAGTAGCTCACCATTGCAGAGTGTCTCCAACATACAGAGCCTAAATGACCTCAAGGGCCTAGATAATAGGCATAAATGAACTCAAGAGCCTAGATAATAGTGAACTAATTAAGAAGTAATGAGTTCTGAGTGTTTATCACCTTTGTTTTGGTGATTATTTATTTAATTTTAGGTTTACGTAACTTAAGTTTTAAGTAATGGTCATGTTCAACAGCTGGCACACAAAATTGAACACAGGGCAGCCTGTCCATTCTCTGGAGCCTATAAGAGCTGGCCAAGTTGGTTCTAGCAGATCACTGTCTCTTCCTCCACTTTTTCCTTTGTAAAGGGCTCCAGACTCAGTTGACAGTTAAACTTTTCTGTGAACCTAGAAGCTGCTTCAGGTTGCACACAGGCTTTGGGGTGAGAGACTGCAAAGTGTGACTCCTGGTCTCTCACTTGCTACGTGATGGTGAAGCTGCCCACTTAATTTGCACTTCCCAGTGCAGAATGAAAATGCAGGGCCCTTGTTAAAAGGCAGGAAGAAAGTGCTGTTAAAATAGCCACTAAAATATAAAGCTTTTTCCTTTCTTCAGTAGTCTCTCTTTCACACTTTCTCATGGTATTTTTATTTTCTATTTAATGTCATTCCAGGTATAGAAAGATTAAGATTGTTAGCATGAGTTTTACCATTAATCTTTATATTGTACAATGCCAGTTTTAAATGTAAACTAAGAGCATTTAACTCTGTGAGTTAATGCACATATCTCCTCTCTTCATGTGTATATCTTGTTACCCCTTCATCGACTTCACCTATATATTAAACACAAGTTCAAAAATAAAATTATTAAGAATTTCAAGACAGGCAGCAGAGCATTAAACCAAGAATGGAGCCCTTCAAAGCATAGGCACAGTTTGCATCCTGTGTACAGTACTGGGCAGATGTCTTACATCTGCTGAGCCTCAGAGGCCTCATCTGTAAAACAGAGATCATGCCAGCCGGATGGAGGTGTGGAGATTGAAGGCACTGGCCAGCAGAATGTTTGGAATGCAGTCTATGGTCACTTAATTACAGGGATTATTATTAACCTACTAATTATAAAATTAATGGCATTCTTTATAGTTCATGAGGTCTTCCCTACAGTGTTGACACCTGCCTCTGACATATTTTCCTTTTCCATTATTAACTCTCTGAAGGTAGAGATGAGATCTGTCACCATTGAATTCCCTAGAGTGCTTTCTGCAAATTCTTGCATATACCTGGCACTCAGGAGGTGTTTATGACCTTGATCTTTGTATGATTTGGGCTTATTGACGATAAGCATCTGTGTCATAATATGATGGCCCCCACAATAAGGCTTAATTGGTAACACTCACAGGAAGAAAAGAATATAAATGTAGACTTTAACAGGAGTCCGTTGTAATCACGGTGAAGCTGGGGGAAGAAGCAGATGATTCCAGGTGTTTTGGTTTATGGAAAGTGGCCTCTGTCTCTTAGAGGAGACTTCTTGAAGTAATAGGGAAGGGATGAGTTCCAAGCCTCATTTGAGTAAAAGAGGCCCCAGGGATATTAACTCTGGCCCATACTAATCTGTCCCTTTGCGAACTTCTTTTACACTTATTTTCTGTTCTGCACAATTAGGACATTATTACAGTAATGTTTCTTTCCACTAATTGGTTGTGTATGTATGTTTCCTGTCCAGAAAATTATAAGACCCTTATGGGCTAAAAGATATCATATACTTTTTTGAACACCTATGGAAAGAAAGTAGCACAGTACTAGGTACCTAGTAAGCAGTGCAGTTTATTATAATGCTGACCTTGGTCCAAACTCCCAGGGCTCCCTGGAGAGCTGAATGTGAGCTGTAATTGCTTTTTATAACTCTTGTAAGCCCTCAACCAAATGCCAGAGAATCATGGTCTCTGGAATGCCTGGCATTGTCAGGCAAAGACTTTCAATAGCTTTGTCTTTTCCTAACCTACATCTCTTTTCCAGTGTCTCCCAGACACTCTGAGGACTGTCCCCCAGCAGCCTCTGTTGCTACATGGAATTTGGGAGACCACACAGCTGTAAACTCTTACTTGTTTGAATGATGATTTTTTAACAAGCCCTTTGGGCCAGTGTCAATAAGCCATGAAATATCACCAAATGGTTCATCTGCACTAGAGTTCTGAAAGTCATCTGAGCTCTAGTCCCTCAAGCTGGCAGGGACTGACAGAAAGGAGCTCACATTGCCCTGGCTTTTCCTATTCCTGTTCTGGGGGCTGTCAGACGCCTTGAGCCTCTGGGCCAGTCAGTTCATTACTTTTAATGAGCACAAAATTCACCAAGACATTAAAATAAAACACCAATGGGCAGTCTTGGATGTTCCATCCAATTGTTGCTTTAGTTCTTTTTTCCACAGGATTGTTCAAGAGGATAAAAAAAAAAGTCAATTCTACTCCTGCCAGTTTTATCCTAAGTAGATTTGGCATTGTAAAGCTAACACACCCTGAACATTTTTTTTTCGTTCAGGTCCCTGTGGGCTGGTGCCTGACATTTGTGTTGAAAACGACATTACTCAATTGGTCAAATGTTTGAACATTATCTACCTTTTGGATATAATAAGAAAATACTGGAAATCTCAACACCGTGTAACATATAAAGAATAATAATCATAGGCAGATAATTATTTTCTGAAAAGGATGTAATGAAACCATTATTTTAAATTACATGGCAAGTGTGGTTATTTTGATATTTTTAATTGATCCATCTCTAGCTAGTAATAAAGACTATAATAACTGTATTAGAGGTTACTTATATTATCATATATTGTAGAAGGTCAATTGATGGTGAATCAGACACAGAACAATGTCCCCATTAAAGTGATTTCATGGATATTTTCATCTCCTGGCCATATGGATTTGGAATCATGTTAGGGATTTTTTTTAAAGAAGGAAGTGAACAGATGAATGATAACTATTTTATTACTCAACATAGCTTGTGTTTGTGGAAGACAAAGTTCATCAAGTTTTTTTAAAGAAAAACACGAGCGTGCCAAATGTAATTTGTTGAGGGCTCGAGAATTGTGAAATTATCCCTAACTGAAGTTTGTCATTTCTGCAGGTAATCGCTCTAGCAGATGCAGTAGAGGAAAACCAAGGCAGTCTGTTCCAGTCATTCACCAAGCTGAAAAGTGCCACCCATTTGGTGATTCTGCTGATGGGGCTGTGGCAGAAGCTTAGCACCGACCAGATTGCTATTCTGGAAGCAGCATTTCTGCCGCTGCAACAGGACACTCAAGAATTGGTAAGGACCCATGACTCTGCAATGGGAACAGCCATCATTATTGAACAGATTGTGGTTTTAGGCAGATATCGCACATATGTTGTGTTTTCTAAGGTATCTGATGGAGACTTTTCTTTAAAACCCAGATCCTGTTTTCCTTTTCTTTAAATCATAATAAAAATGTCAAATAAAGGCCCCTTTTTTTTCCTAGAGCTATTTTAAAAATAGGTATATAGTCCATTTTTATGTGGTATTCAGTCTATTTTTTATGTGCTCTTCAATCACTTAGAAGCCAGGGAAATAGTCATTTGACTGCCTGAGTGATGGCAGTAAACCTTCATATTAGCTAATCCTTTCCTTTTCCACCAGAGAAAACAGTTCAGCCATTTTAATTTGCTCAGTGTTCTTAAATTTAAGTGTCACTTCAAGGGTTAGGGAGAACTGAGATAGCCTTGCCAAATGACAGGAATATTTTGTTACATTTATATAGTTCTTAATACGTAGTGTATAAACTTTTTTGCTCTTGACCCTTTAAATTGGCAGTTTAGAACCAAAGGGGGGAAAGATGAGGGTTCCTATTTGGAGTTTTTGGTGAAAGGTCATATGAATAAAAACATCTCAGATCCCTCGAATTGTAGAGGTTGTATGACTACCAGGTGTCATCATGGGGGAACTTTTTGCATGCTTTTATTTACAAAGAAATAATATACTCCTTGGAAATTAGAGACTCTTGGACTTACTTTTTGTATTGGAGTAAGCCATATCATGAAACAAGTCATTTCAAACATAGCCACGAGAACACAGAACTAAAAATAATAGGGCTAAAACTAACATTTCTGAGTACTTACTAGGTAGGCACCAGGTGATATTTTAAGTGTTCCACAAAGATTGTCTTATTTAATCTTAAACATGGCCCTAGAAGGTTGTTAAGGTACTATTTTCATCTACATTTAATATATGAGAAAATTTAAGCATTGAGAGTTAGGTACCTTTTGGAAACTAGTGGGTATAGAGCTAGGGTTTGGGCCCAGGTCTGGCTGCTTTCAAAGCACATGCGTTTTGTTTGTTTGGTTGGTTGGTTGGTTGTTGTGTTTTTTTTTTTTTCCCAATACGCTGTATTTTAGCAAACAAAGTCATGAATAAGATTTTGAAAATCACAGGCTTTGTCTGTTGAATGTAATTTTCTACAATTGGATCAAAGGATTGTCAGATGAAAAAAAATATCAAGCTATATTTTATATCCTAAACAAAATACTAATAAATAAATTGGAAAAAATTTAGAGTATACCGTTTTTTTAGATTCATAAAATGAAATTACTGCTAAAATTGATCTTTGAGAAGCCAGAAATGTGAACATTGTAATAACAGAAAACAAAGAATACAGTTAGGGTTGTATTAGTAAGAATGATAGCTATGAACTCAGATTTAGTAGTTAGAAAGACTTGGGTGGCCTCAGTTCCTGGTTCCACCACTCGCTGATAAAGTCCTTCTGGTCAGGTTTTCTAGCTGTTCTAACTCTCTATTTCTGTGGTTCCAAGATGGAAACAATAATAGGACCTACCCAAGCTGAATAAGAATTAAATGAGATAATGGAATAGAGTAAATTATAACTTACTCATTTTTATATTCTCAGCATTTGGCACAATGCCCGACCATAGCACAGTCAATATTTGTTAGATGAGTGACTGGAGAAAGGGTGAAAGCTAACAAGAGGTAACTTGGCAGAACAGATGTAGTAGATATAATCTGGAGCATGAGGAAGCAGGGCAGGGCCAGCTGTATACTTTACAGAGCCCAGAGCAAAATGAAAATGTGGATCCCTTATTCAAAAAAGTAGAAAAATACCCAACATATTGTTGAAACAGGTTCTAAAACAAAGCTTTTTTTCTTTCTGCAGTCTCATCATGGTGGTTTTATTTGCTATTTTATGCTATTCTAAATAAGAAAAATAAAAAATTGAAGTTGTTAACATGAATTTTACCATGAATCTTTATAATGTGCAATGCCAGTATTAATACAAACATAAGAGCATTGAACCCATATGCAGAATCACCAAAATTATATAATTCATATTTTGTAGCTCACACATGCATATGTATTTTGTTCCTACAGAACTGTGAATCACTGCACAAAATTAACTGCTTTTACTTCCCTTCTTGATATGCACACATCTACCAACACTCTCTACCTTCAGCTTACTGATGACTGAGCAAGGAAAGAAAGGGAAAAAAGTGTTACTATATTTCCCTTTCCTTCTGTTACCATTTTCAATGTAAGTAATGGGATAATACAGGGAAGTAACAGGAGTATAATGGACTTCATTAGTCATTCCTGTTTCTTTGAATCTATTTGCTGCCTTTCTTTCAAAATAAGTTTTGGTGCAAATGAAATGCCTTAATGGGTTGTTAGTGCCCCCACTTAATCCGTCTATACATAACATGCCCTCCTTACACTTGCTTTGAGTCTCCCTGCCTCCCGCTCATTCTGGGGCCATAGAATTCTAAGCTTATGGGGCAGAAAGGGAAAAGGAATGTGTACTGCACGTGTCTTCCCTTCTCACACATCACTGTTCCATCAGACATCACTTACAGAACACAAGTGCGATATAAAATTATTAAGAATTTCAGGGGTGCCTGGGTGGCTCAGTTGTTAAGCATCTGACTTTGGCTCAGGTGAGGATCTCACAGTTCAGGTCATGATCTCACAGTTCATGATGTCGAGTCCCACACCGGATGAGCTCCAGCCCTGCTTTGGGTGAACACAAGCCCCACTTCGGGTGAGCTCCGCTTTTCTCTCTTTCTCTCTCTTCCTGTTGCTCACTAGCACCTTCTCTCTCTCAAAAAAAAAAAAAAAATTCAAGATGACGATGGCAAAACATTAAATCACACATGAGGCCCTTCTGAGCATGGGGCCCTGTGTGACCACACAGCTCAAATGCTCCTGAAGGTGGCCATGAAGTGTGGTTAGACCCAGAGGAAGAATTTCTTCGAAATAAAGGTTCTCAAATATAGGGATTGAGTCTCCAGAGAGATTGTGGAATTTCCGACTCTAGAGAACTTTAAAAACAGCCTCCTTCTGGCTGGGGGTAGTATGTTCATCCCTGTAAGCAGGTGAATGGACTAGGCATCTTCTCAAAGCTCCTTTCTGTCCTGCCACTGTGTTCTCTGTTGCCTCATCTCCCAAAATATGTAGGGGAAAATTCTTTCAACTTTCTTCTGAATTTGGCGAGATTAGAAGGTGTGTATACTCGTTATGTCTATTGAAGCCATTAATGAGACAGGACATTTGATAAAAACATAACTTGGAGAAGAATGAACCCAAAAAGACATTTTAATACTGCTTGTTATGCTCTTCATCTTTAATTAGGTTGTGGTATTCACTTTGGACTTACACTGTTGAGACAGCTTATATATCTTGAGAAAAAAGGAATCCTTTTTCATTCTTTAAGACGTATGCATGCAGTATGTGGTTTTGACATGCTAGTTCACAATCCCCTACATTATGCCTTTAGACCTCACAAATAAATGTTATGTGATGGGTGTCCCACTGAGATGTGAAAATGAAATATGCAAACCTGAAATAACTTGGAAGGAGGGTAAGACAGGGAAGAAAGGAGTCTCTGACCAGAATGTTGAAAATATATCCCATATTGAAGTTATTATGATACCACAAAAATCTGAATGTAATTTAGACGGTTTGGTTGGAAGTGGATGTCAGAGTACATGTGTGAGGGGGAGAACTTCAGACATGTGGACAGCATTTTCAGAAGAGACTCTCAGTTCAAGGTCAGATGTCCCCACAAGTATTGAGAGGTGGAAGAAAGTGCTCAGAAGATGTTTTGTTTATGTTCCACATAGCACTGCACAATGGTTTGCTTTATTGTTATTTAGATGCCATGTGTCACAAAGGCAGGCTAAATGCCATAGTTCACTCTGGAATATTTTCTAACTGGCATCAGGTTCACAAAGCAAATATATTTAGAATTTATTATTCCTAATGAAAAGTAATGTTCTTCACACTATTTTATCGGTATTCTTTTAAAATGCCATCTCGTTTGGATCAGAATTCATCATTGTTTTCTTTGATCTGTTTCTTAAATGCTTTTCTATTTTTGTCGTTTCTCATTACTATTTGGGGGCAAATAAATGCTGGTATTGCAGACTATTATGTATGACTTTTTCAAGGTGCTGAAAGTCATATGTGCCAAGTGTGTTTTTGTAGGGATACTTCCCTTCATTTTAAGGAAAACATTAACTGTTCTATTTGGCATCTCCAAAAAGAGCTTAAACTCAGTTGCATCAGTAGATTTGACAGTAAATGTAGTATTGTCCCTGCCATCTTCCCGTGAGGGAGAAGTTTTGCCCCAAATAATGTGTTCTATCAGTGTACCTGATGGGGCAATTCTAAAACAAACTGTTTTCTTACTTTTCAGTTTAGGGGTTGAGGATTTCAGAGTATTTGCAATGCAGAATTTAAACATACATCTTTTATCTATGTGAAGTTCTATGAAAATACCATCTCTACTTAGGTCACTGAGGGCTGTGTAATGGTTTGAGTCCAAGAGAGTGATTTTTTTTTAATTTTATTTTTTAATATTTTTAACATTTTTATTATTGAGAGACAGAGAGAGACAGAGCATGAGCATGGGAAGGGCAGAGAGAGAGAGAGGGAGTCACAGAATCTGAAGGAAGCGCCAGGCTCCAAGCTGTCAGCACAGAACCCAATGCGTGGCTTGAACTCATAAACCATGAGATCATGACCTGAGCCAAAGTCAGACACTTAACCGACTGATCCACCCAGGCGCCCCTGAGGGAATGTTTAATTGTGATAGCACATACACATCTCTCATCATGTTATGCAAAAGCCAAAAACTGCAAAACTCCACATACCTCAGGACTGGCTTAAAATCTTTTCGTCCAGTCATTTTTGCATTCAGTGATTATTTCTTAAGTACCAACTATATTTCAAGCAGTGTTCTAGGTTCTTAGCATATTTCAGTAAACAAAACAGACTTGGATCCC